TGCCCCACCATTACCCAAATGGCGTCCCTGATACTAGTACTAGTAGCTACCTCTCGGCAACAGCCACACCTGATCAAATGTTACAAAAAGTTGATAATGAAAGGTGGTATACCCTTGATATTAAGAGTAATTCGATTCAGATAGCCAGCAGAAGACATCTTCGTCAGGCTTACGACATCAATCTGTAAATCTGTAAACGTCAGGCGTTGGTCTTAGTCTTAGTCTTAGTCTTAGTCTTAGTGTGCAGTTAGCGTTTGTGTTATTACTTGGCCGATGATAACCCGGTTGTGTTATTTTAATGACATAAAAAAATCATTTAAAAATTAATAAGAAATCAAATAATCCATAATAGAGATGTCTAATAGTCAATTCTTTCTTACCTTAATTAAACATTCTCTCATTTTAAACCGATTACAATCAAATTATTTCGTATGACACTGCGTTGTAGCCGGACTTACATTTTCGGGTTTTCCCAATGTCATGCAAAGAATTTCCCAAACGGACACTCATTAAAATATAAAAAATTCCCATAGTGACATAGTGATGATTATTTATAGACCACCGTCTCCTTGTTTGAAAATAAATGCACAATCAACAATAATACGTTTATTAATTTTTACGGAGGTTGTGGTGAGGCTTTTGCACTGTCAGCATACTGTAAAAAACGTTTCTTTTATTTGCTTCAAGCCTGCAGCCGACACATTACTTGTATCCAACCTAGAATTTAAGTTGTTTCAGTTTCATAAAAATTGTTTTGTCCCAGAACGAATTATGATTATGAATTCTCCTCTTTTGATATTGATCATTTGAGGATTGTTACTATTTAATGGTTTAAAATATATAACTTATAAAATATTTTAGTTTGTTGGTTTCATTTTAATTTTAATTTCGTAAGGAAAACATTTCCATTGAACTTTATGGGAGGGAAAAAGCGTAAATTTCTATCCTACGAATATCACTTGTATTTTTGTTAATGGATATTGTGCAAAAAAATTTACATTTTCTTGAGAAATAAGCTCAACACTTTGGTATCATTCGTTTGTGTAGCGTCAAACATTAAGTAGACAAGATTTCGTTTCCCAAAGTTGACCCACCAACATAGACCACTTAAAGTGAATGACTTTTTTTTTTACAATAGATCAGAAAACACTTCAGGTTTTACCGGACTCTGTATGTTATATTTCATATTGCTTCAACTTGAGCACAGTCTTTCACCAAATTACGCGTAATAGAGCGTGGAATATAAATCAGAAATTAAAATATAGTTGAAAGAAAAAAAAGCATAAAAAAATTCAAAATTGGATAAAAATGACGAAGATTTTTTTTTTTTAAACAACTAATTCTTCAATGTATGTAGATAGCGTGTGTGATTATTGAACTTTACAGCTCCATTGGCAATCTTAACATACCATAATTTTCATCCATCACTTCCATCCATCACTTGCATCCATCACTTCCATCCATCTCTTCCATCCATAACTTCCATCCAGTGTGATGTCGTTGTTATAGAGCGTTGTGTTTTTTTTAATAGAGCATTTTGTTATCATTTTAACAGGTCACCTTGTTCTCGTTATGTGAATGGCGTTGGTTTTATACTTATATTACTTTGGGTCATAATGTATCACATCTGTGTGTCCTGATGTTGATTTATGCATCCCAGCTGTGTGTCCTGGTGTTCATTGATGTATCACAGCTGTGTGTCTTGGTGTTAATTTATTTATCACTGCTGTGTGTCCTGATTTTAATTTATTTATCACTGTTGTGTGTCCTGATGTTAATTTGTAACAATCTGAAGAAAAAAAATCTTGGTTTGCCCTCAGGGCTAGACTAATTAAAAAAGCTAATCATTCGGTAGGAACTGTCTTATTGCAAGACCTTAGTAATATACAATATATTATAACGTGTAACCATCAATTCTACTTCCACTTGTTACCTACCACGTATGCGTTCGTCAGAAGTTGTTATTATCAACAAGTGCACAAGGACCGGGTTCAGTATCAAGCTCAACATCATGATGTTCAAAACTTCGGGGTAGGGGTTGGGGGTTTGGGTTGGGGTGGGTAGAGGTGGGGATGGAGAGAGAGAAAAATGAAGATGGGCGTTTTAGGAAGAAGCAGACGGATGAACGGTGCAATCACAGGAATGATTACTTTATGACCTATAAAGTAAAAATGAGGCTTTCGTCCATCGTTTCTGCCCCTGCAGCGTGGACGAAGTTTCCGAACCTGATGTTGGCAGACGATCAGAGATATACTTGAAACCTGCCCATTGAAAGGCTTCGAGAAAAACACCTCACCAGACGAGCGCCGTCTTCCTTGTATGCCACAGATATCTTAATAAAGTTGAGTCAAATACGACCGCTTTATGTTTCGACTTTCATCAGTCTTGGAAATACAGATGAATTCGGAAAATAATGTTAAAATATGCTTATATAATACATGTGAAGTTATCATACAGAAGGTAAACAAGACGTGGTGTGGGCATTATCAAGGAAAGATTTTGTAAATATTTTATTTTATTTTGTTTTATTATACTGCTTCGGAATGTCAACTATTTCAATTTTTATACCCCAAAATCGGTTACATTGTGAAAACAAAGTAAAACTTTTACAGTACTTGAAACGCCAAGAGAGTCACAGACCAATAATTTCGAGTACCCTGCTGTTTAAATTTAAGTTCCTAGCATTGATGGATGAAAACTTCGTAAAATATGTGATTTTCTTGTAAAAAAAAAAGTATATGAATGTAAGAACTGTTTTTTTTTTTTTACTTTAGCAAAACTTCACCATCTAAACAACATCATTTTATTCTATAAAGGTTTACTGCTAGGTTTTCCTTTTGTTACAGTAATACATTTACAACCTTAATTTAAAAGCTTCACATCTCTCCCAATGACGGTGCCTAAATTTTAATTAAATTGAAAGTTTAAGCCTTTGATCAAATGAGGGTACACAAACATGTCATAGTTTCCAGATCACTCAGACTGTTTTTAAAAGGACGTTATTGAGAGTACACCTAGCGTTCCTTAGAAAAAAATAATTATAACATGCTCCAGGCTAAACCGCTCTGTTTCTTGCTGTGTGTTTATGTATCCATGGATATTCATAGTTTCCAGATCACTCAGACTGTTTTTAAAAGGACGTTATTGAGAGTACACCTAGCGTTCCTTAGAAAAAAATAATTATAACATGCTCCAGGCTAAACCGCTCTGTTTCTTGCTGTGTGTTTATGTATCCATGGATATTCTGGTCCATTATTATTGTGGACCTCATTTTTCACAGTGTCAATATGTCTATTCTCTCGCTTCCTGTGTTCCCACTTCCGGCGGCGACAATGGATAGTTCTTGAGTTGTTTACTGTGCTCTGTTCTTTGTGATATTTTCATTTCTACTGTTAGCTGAAGAAGGCTGTGTGCCGAAACGTCCTTATCTTTTTGCCCTGTCCTCTAATTCAAGCTTCCACATCCCTCGTTTTGCTATTTCATTCATCTGTTTCTTAGTCTTGAAATACATACCGATAAACACAATTACAGAAATTATAATAATTTTTTTTCTAAATAAAAAGAGTAACTTCCCATTATCAATCTCGTTTAAATATAATCCAAATGCATTTCTGATCTATTTAAGTTTCGGTTAATTCAGAAACCATTTTCCTTCTATAATGATTCAACCTATCTGTTGTTTTCCCCATATTTTAGAATTGTTTAGGATGTTATGCAATCATAAGTCTATTTGTTTGTGTTGTTGAATTCTAGAAAGTAGTTTCATTTGATGTCAATTCTGTAAAATTTTTTACACAATCTATAAAGTCACATTTTAATAGCAACACATAAAAGTGCGGTTGTATAACAAGTGGTTTATTGTCAATTTCCGGGTGAGAAGTATCCAAATATTAAATATAACAATATAAATATCACAGTATAGAGGGAAAATAAAGACGTATGTGTACCTAGGTGTCTCTATTAATAATAGTAAGCTTACTTGGCATGAACACGACTTAAGTCTAAGTTTTAAAAAGTTCACCAAAGACTTTTCTATCTTTTAAAAAATTACAGAATTTTGTTCCATCAAAATAAAAATCGCAAACATATTCTAAAATGCCAAAAATTGGAAGGCCTCTGAGCAGTGGCGTAGCTAGGGATTTGGGGGCCGGGGGGGCTTGGCCACTTTAGGGGTCCCTGCACATTCGACATTATTTAATGTAAAAAAAAATTCGGACACTCCTTTGGGGGCCCCCCTCAAGTAGGTGCCCGACTTTCAAATTTTGACCCCCCTCCCCTAGCTACGCCACTGAGCAACTTCAGTGTTACCTGTTTGTGTGGAGATTCATCGCTTAGCGTCAAAAACATTATATATTGAATTATCAAGAAAGCAAGTGATATTATATATATATATATATAATTACATTCGCTTGAAAAAACTATGTGAAGCAAAATGCAATTTAAAAACTAAAATATAAAAGGAGGATTTAACCTACCCTATTCATCACAGATATCGTAAGATCCCATCCCACCTGCTTCATCACAGGTTCCTAAGATCACATCCCACCATTTTCATCACAGGTTCCTAAGATCACATCCCACCATATCCATCACAGATGCCTAAGATCCCATCCCACCTGCTTCATCACAGGTTCCTAAGATCACATCCCACCATTTTCATCACAGGTTCCTAAGATCACATCCCACCCTATCCATCACAGATGCTTAAGATCACATCCCACCCTATCCATCACAGATGCTTAAGATCACATCCCACCCTATCCATCACAGATGCTTAAGATCACATCCCACCCTATCCATCACAGATGCTTAAGATCACATCCCACCCTATCCATCACAGATGCTTAAGATCACATCCCACCCTATCCATCACAGATGCTTAAGATCACATCCCACCCTATCCATCACAGATGCTTAAGATCACATCCCACCCTATCCATCACAGATGCTTAAGATCACATCCCACCCTATCCATCACAGATGCTTAAGATCACATCCCACCCTATCCATCACAGATGCTTAAGATCACATCCCACCCTATCCATCACAGATGCTTAAGATCACATCCCACCCTATCCATCACAGATGCTTAAGATATTTTAAAAACAATACGGATAATTTATTTAAACCTCAATCACATTTGTAGATATTAAATGACAGATAGGAGGCTATGATACTTTATGATAGTAATATAAAAAAAAAAAACTTGGGGGGAAATAAAACAGTATAGTTAAGGTTGCAATTCTTTCACTACTGTACACACTTAATCATGATGTAATCGCTCGAGCTGCGTAAAATCCTAATCTTTGTTTGAAGCTAGAGACATTTTATTTCTGTCCCTTGCTCTCGCCACCAGTTCTGTAGTCGTTATTTGACATTCCAAAATATTTTCTCATCTATTCAATCAAGTATGTAATTTTAAATGTCATCACGCTTGTATTGATATTACAAAACAAACAAGAATCATCAATTCTTTTTTGTTTTTTTTTTGTTTTGTTATTGTTGTTGAAAATTTTGAATTTCCATACAAGGAAATGTTTCATTTGTTATTTGAAAATTTGTTCAAAACAAGTTGAACCAGTCGATGTCCTCCATTCAAGAACGCAGAGCCGTGGCGTGACTTTTGGAGGACTCCTTGGAAGATTTTGGTTTTGGTCAAAGCCCAGCATTCAATGTTGATAGTTTTTGTTTTTTTCCCGCATCACAATTTTGGGCCTCTCGAGTAATCTAGCCCCAACCCCCCCCCCTTTTGCGTGGCCCACTCTACAGCCCTGCAAGAACGGTTGGTGGACCTTAAACAAAACCATTCAGTTGTTTTTGCCGAGACAACAGGACATCCTTTGATAGCGCCGTAGAAATGTTGCTGGACTCCAGCACGGCCATGGCACTTAGCGTGGTCACCGAGTCACGTGACTGGCTCCAGCGTTTGAGGACCTGGCTCAGTTCTGTCAGCTGGTTGTGTAAGCTCTGGACCAAGTCCTTGATATTCTCGCGGTCAAATTGGTCAGACCTGTTTTCGCATTTCAGTGCTGAGGTGACCTGCTCGACTCGACTTATCACATCTCGAACGTCTTGATCTGCAAAGAAAGAAAATTTACGAGATCATTAGTGGATGCTCTTGAAGTATTTCGATACAAATAATTCAGAACACATCAGAGAATTTGTGACCTGGGTGGTGTGGCCTCTAACTGTGTATTCCTGACTGGGGGTGGGTGGGGGTGTGGCTTCTAAGTATGTTTTTGCGACTTGTGGCAGGGGGTGGCCCCTGTGTATATGTGAATCGGGGGAGGTGGCCTCTAACTGTGTATTTTTTACTTTTAACTTTCTAATATGTTTTAAGTAAGTACTGCATCGCCGCAAAGTTAGTACTTTTGAAAAAAAATAGCAGTTCAATTCATAGTTTGAATTAGATAGAGTGATCATGATGGGATCAGTTTTGTGGTAGGAATTTAAAGGATGTTATAAGATAACCAACGATGACCAGAGACAACTAACTATTTCCTGGTAACTTCACTGTTTTAAAAATGATACTGTATGAAGTGGGGTGGGGAGGGGTTTGCCAAAGGGCTCGCCGCCATGAGCGGCACTTTTTTTTCTTTATATTGAAAGGCGGCACTGGAGGCCAACTGCAGAAGGGAGGGCGGGTTCGTGGAACTGGAGTGACGAAAAATATCTGCCCTGTCCCGGGCGGCACGTACACTAGCTACGCCACTGAAAGAATGTCATAAAATTGTATCTATATTTCTGACTATGAGCCATGTCTTCATTGGTCGAAAATTGTAAAAAAACATTAATAGACTTTGCGCTGCAGCTGGTGGTTGAAAAAATAAACAACAGTGTTTGAATGACAAGATTTCGCAAACTTACTAGCAGATTTGTTTTCTTCATTCCTCAAATTGATCATGATTTGCCTGCGCCTGAAGCACACAACGGCCAATGTAGCGAAACAACAAATTAAGACACCAGTTACTGTAAATGTAGTCCCTGAAAGAAAAGCAACTAAAAAATTAAAGAATTAAACCAAAAAAAAATTCTACCTTTTTCAACAAATTTATTATTTAAAAAGAAAAGTTTTTGGATGGGAAATTTGGCTTTGACAGTAAATGTAAATTATTCAGCGTATTTACCATATAGTTATTATTAAATACAATTTGAATAGTCAGATATATTTTATTTAAAGCTGTGTTGCATAGACGTAACCTTTTATGAGGGAGGACGTAACACACTTTCATAAGAATTGGCCACTGCCACATGTTTTTTAGAGTCACCAACTAGTTCTTTGTTTTGGTTTTCAGAATGTTTTAGTAAACGGTTGATCTTAATTTTTCGCAATTTTAAAACATATCCCATTGTGGGGATTTCTTTTTTTGTTCAACACAGGCAACGAAACGGCTCGGTTTTTTTTACGCACTAACTGCTACGCTCCTTCATAACCCACCCACTACCGTAATATATTTATCGAAACTTACTCTAATAGAAACACTAAGAAAATATGCGGGTGTGTATTTATGTTCAGCATAACAAAAATGGCTTTAATGGCTTAACAAAAAAAAAATATATTTCTTCACTTTGGACGTTTTAAAATTCAACACTGCCATACTTACACAAAATCTCTTAAAGTTACCAACCACAAAATCCCTTTAACTGACTAACCACAAAATCCCTTAAGTGACCAACCACGAAAATCTTAACTGAACAACTGCAAAAATCCCTTAAACTGATCAACTGCAAAAATCCCTTAAACTGACCAACTGCAAAAATCCCTTAAACTGACCAACTGCAAAAATCCCTTAAACTGACCAACTTCAAAATCCCTTAAACTGACCAACTGCAAAAATCCCTTTAACTGACAACTGCAAAAATCCCTTAAACTGACCAACTGCAAAAATCCTTTCAACTGACCAACTGTAAAAATCCGCTAAACTGTCCAAATGCAAAAATCCGCTAAACTGACCAACTGCTAAAATCTCCTAAAATGACCAACTTAAAAAATCCCATAAACTGACCAACCACACCCACATTTCGGATAGACAATTAAAGTCGGTGACTTTTCCCCTGCTATATGTTTCTATCCATCATTTCCGAGACACGATATAGGAGCAAGTTAAAGAGTTATCCTACTGCAAGTGCTTTTATATTTATATTTTATATTTATATTTTATATTTATATTTTGGTGCCATAACGCCATTCTGTAACCGATGCCGCAGATGAAGCAAAAAAACAACAACAAAACATCTAGATATCAGTGGATACCTACACAATGCACTGCATGAATCTCTCGATATTCGCGCACATCCATGGTCATGGCGGGAATCTGCTTGCGTAACGACATCAACTTTATTGTCCTCGTGAGTTTCTGCTAACAGATAGACTAAGCTTCATTTTAAAAGCAAGCGTGTACGTTGTAATACTAACATTGTGGATGTGTTGATTTTCAGCGGTAAAGAAAGACAATTTTTTTTTACTATTGCCTTTGGGTCAAAGTTTTCCATCAAGGTCGACTTCATTCGTCATACATTAAATATCTTAGATCTCAACTGATCAATGCTCATAGATCTCTACGAAATGAGAGGAAAATAATTAATGAAATGACTTGATTTCTGCCATTTACTTTAGAGTGATATAGATGCCCAAATTAATTCCTTCCTTAATGTAGGCAAAAGTTTATTCAGAATTTTAATGGGAAAGGGGGGCGGAGTTGGGGGGGGGAGGGGGGATAGCAATTTCACGTTCTGAAATGCAACGTTGCTCCAAGGGTTGTCTCTCTTGGTAATAGTTCATGATTTAATGTGGCTCTAAAGGTTTCTCTTTTAGCGTTAATTTCAGACATACCTTTTAAGACAGGTATAACTTTCAAAGTGATAAGACCATCTGACACTCACTTGGACAGACGCTCAGCAACGTCTCACTGAACACGTCTTGACACGCCAACCGACACGTGTGGTGTCTCATGCTCGTCACATTGGTGACTCCCGTGTGTCTGCACCATTCCAGTCGGCTTTCTTCCGGTACGTTCAAGGGGAAGCAGCTCTCACACAGCCCGGAGTGGCAGAACTCCGAGACTTTGCAGCAAGCGCCGTAGGGCAGACATATGGCCGGTCGATCAGCCGGACAGACGATGCCAGTGATTGTTTCCAGGGTTGGGGCTGCATATTCGACAATATGAAGGGCTGCAGATACAACAAAATTAGCGACTGCAAATACAACAAAATTTACTAACTAATGATTTGGTATTATTTTAAGCATAACTCCCTTTAAAAAAAAATAATAAAAACAAAGTCACAAAGGTAAGCCAATTGAAAATGATTTTAAAAAAAAAAATATTTTAAGGAAACAAAAGGAACTAAACATAGGTAAAATTATTTTAAGGAAACAAAAGGAACTAAACTTAGGTAATATTATTTTAAGGAAACAAAAGGAACTAAACATAGGTAAAATTATTTTAAGGAAGCAAAAGGAACTAAACATAGGTAAAATTATTTTAAGGAAACAAAAGGAACTAAACATAGGTAAAATTATTTTAAGGAAACAAAAGGAACTAAACATAGGTAAAATTATTTTAAGGAAACAAAAGGAACTAAACATACGTAAAATTATTTTAAGGAAACAAAAGGAACTAAACATAGGTAAAATTATTTTAAGGAAACAAAAGGAACTAAACATAGGTAAAATTATTTTAAGGAAACAAAAGGAACTAAACATAGGTAAAATTATTTTAAGGAAACAAAAGGAACTAAACATAGGTAAAATTATTTTAAGGAAACAAAAGGAACTAAACATATAAAATTACAAAAAGGTAAAAAAAGGGGGGGGGGGGTAAATCAACTGCTTCGCCCGAACAACGACAGAAATAATTTTAAAATAAATTTGTTTTTACATGACAGTTAGTTCAGTGGCGTAGCGAGGGTGTTTGGCGCCCGGGGACAAGATTCATTTTCAGCGCCCCTTTTTCTTTTTTCCATTTCTCAAACCCATTATTTTCATCAATAAAATAATATCAAAGCACATTTTGGCGCCCCTAACTAGCTGGCGCCCTGGGACATCTGTCCCCCCTGCCCACACCACGCTACGCCTCTGAGTTAGTTTATTAATTATTCTAATTTTTATTTATTAGAACCATTATTGTTATCACTTATATTATTATTAAACTAATGTTATTTAGTAAAACTTGAAGGAAATAATAATTTAATTTTGTCAAAATTTATGATGTGCAAATGTAATACTTGACCATATTCTCAATGAATAATTTCAATTTATTCCCAACAACAGGAAATTACGTAGACATCACATCTTTGGTAAACAAATTGTTTCCATTGAGCCTAAAGCCTTAATAGATTCCTGTGATTCGCTTACCGTTAGATTGACATTCCAAGAGCCCCAAGTCACGTGTCCAGATTAAAAAGAAAAACATGAACATTGTAAAAGTTAATTTCTTGATGAGACTTTAAGTTGATAATTGATTGTCACTATTCATGCCCCCCTTGCATGTCGTGATTGCACCTTTGGTCAATCTGTAAGCAATTTTTAAATACATTAAAACTCAGTTCACACAATCCAGCAGCCAATGGCGCGATTCTCGTCTGAACTTTATCACACCTTTCATATCACCATTTGAACAAATTTTGATACTTTTGCAAATCTTTTTGGTACCGATGTTATTAAGCGATCTCCATATCACGTGTGCAAAAAAAAAAAAACAACATTACTATGGTTGTCATTCGCGAACGAGTTGACATTGGCTACGCTAAATTATCCAAACAACAACAGCTAAGGATTAAGTATTGTGTAACTAGGAAACATAGAAAAAAGATGTGATAATTAGTTGTTTTTTTTTAAATTAGACAATAAATGTGTTTAGGGCATGATGTGAATGAAAGTTATTTATAAATAGGCAAATTAGTAATAGGCCTATTAGTAATAATGAGGAATAAAGAATATTTTTTTTCTTAACTTTATGATTATGGCTACTAATTCTGCTTCGGCTAGATTCTGCGATTGCCTCTATTACTGTCAGCGATCGAGACACACACAAATAACTAGGAAGTCCGAACTAACTTGACACACTATAGGAAATGCCGCTCCCAACACGTTACTAGCACGGTAGAGCCTCTGACAGCGTTGGTATGTTACAATTAAATTACAAGAATGAATGTGGAGCACACACAAATTTTGGACAGCCCTTGTGCATATGTGTCTTAATGAGTTATTTCGTTTAGAGATTACATGAGTTACAGTCTTGGTAAGGAAATTGGGGTTGGCGCTTAAAGGGCTTTGTCGTCATATCATAACGGGTTTATTGTGAAATAAACTATATAGCCTATTTTATATATATGTATATAAAAAGGGGGGGGGGTTCTAGGCGGAAGAATTTATACGATAACGACGCCTTTAAGTTATATTCGAGAGATTTTCAAGGTATAAAATTATTTATATTATTTTTATTTGTGATAAAGAAAGGCCAGACATGTAACGACTACTGACTTGTGTTAGTGAATTGAATAACACACGTCTAGTTCCAGGCAAACTCTGGATACATAGTCACTGAAAAAAAGCACCAAGCACTGTCAGTTTAAGTGGGTTATCCTGACCTTATTCGGCCTCGATAGAGGCACTGGGGACTATAACCTAACTGAGGGCCTCGAATTCACAAGGCCGTATTGCTTAACTCGCTAAATGCGAATGTGACAACCGTAGAACGTTAATAACACAAAAAAGTTTGAAATAAGTATCTAAACGTACTCAAATCTTATTCTGGGAATTCCCTTAACTTTTGGATGAGTTTCAGAAATTCCCGTTAACACGTAATATCCTAATTTTGCTCGTTGGTTAATGGAATTCGTTACAAAATGTCATGTTGAGTCATTCACGCTTTATCTAGTTCTATCAGCAAATCCCTCCAGAAAGGTAATCCCCCTCCTTTTTTCATAAAATAGTATCATATGTGCATATAGAAACGTGTGCACTCCCCATGGACAAACAGACAAAAAAGACTTAAAAATTGCCACGTTTCGAACATCTCTGCCATGTTACAATTATTACAAGATTAAAATCCTTTATTATATTTAACCCAATAGTCATAACATTATAACTGCCATAACAGATATTTCTGAGAAAAAGCAACACTAAATTTTAGTCCACCACTAGACGTATTGCGCTGCTTAGTTTATAGAAACAGTTTCACAATATTATTTTTCTTTTAACCTGTGATTTAAAAAAAAAAAATTTTTTATTTAGCATGCAACAGGAAAATACGAAAATAGATTATTCTTTTTTTTTTTTTTTTTTTTTTTTTTTTTAAAAAAAAATAAAATTTGGAAAATCTAATTTAAAAATAATAATAATAATAATAATTCAATTCATGGGGATCATTTCACCTCTTTCTTTTTAAAACTTCATTTTCTTCTTTTTAGTTTAAACTGTGACTTAATTATCAATTTTTTTAACAATTTATTTGAAAATTATAAAAAAAACACAAAATTTTTCCATTTTAAATTTACTAATTTTTTTTTTTCCAACTTTAAAAGTAAAAGCTTAAACTTAAAACAAATGAGTTTTGTAGAAGATATAATGAGTCACAGACTACAATGTTGTCAAAAAATTTGAACAATTACTGTCATGATATATATGACATCCTTCCGTCTTTGTGAGACGATGGAGTAGCTATGTAGTCCTACACTTCGACGAGTGGCTCACTAGGCCATCCTGGAATGACAATCTCGACCGCTTCTCTCGCAGGAGAATATTTATTCCTGGTAAGATTTTGACTTCCGTATTGTTTTTTTTTGTTGTTGTTGTTGTTGTTGTTGCAAGGGCCTCGTTTCGTGTATCTTCTGCCTTTTTTTTTACTCCTTCATACACTGTTGTTCCCCAGCTGGAACGTTTTTCAGCAATGAGCTCCCATTCGTTGTTTTCTATATTGGCTTCCCTCACGCTGTAGTATAGGCCAAAACGTGCCAAAGTGTAGTCGTTTTTATAGCCATTTTAATGTTTAAGCTACTGTTTCCATAGTCATTTTTCACATTGTAGTTACTATTCTAGTGTCTCTGCTTTTTCATTTTTATTTTACTTTAGCAGTTGAAATAGGTTACATATTTTTAATAATTGTAAAGCGCTTAGAGCTGTAAGGTAAGCGCTATACAAAAATGCCTTCATAAATAAATGATATATACACAGGGTAAAAGAAAGCCTGAAGCATGACAATACAAAAAAAGTAGACGTTTTGGCTAAGACGCCTTCGACAGCACAATCTCAGCTAAAGTTCGGAGACATATACACTTAGCTTACATAGGTATATATCAGTAAAGTGGCTTTGTCTCTGAGATTTTGTTGTTAAAGCTCCTTGACCGAAAACGTCCAATTTGTTCTGTAGGCCTTATTGTCCTTTTCCAAACTTTTCCTTACATTGTATAGGTGTCATTTTGCTCCAACATGAACGCAGTTCTCCCCCACATTACTCATATTATCCTTATTACTAATATGACTTATCTGACAATGATATTTTCCGGCGCACTACTTATTAATATAGTCAGTAGCGTGCATAAAGAAAATAGAGTTTTAGTTAAATTTCCAATCCAGAAAGTTTTTAAATGTAAATGATGAATAAAAATAAACAGTTTTGTAACAATGAAAGTGTTTGTGTTTTTTGTTGTTGTTGTAACAGTACCAGATATATGTATACATTTGCTTCTCTTTATCAGTGATACTAATTATGGAATATGATACCTGTCAAGTATGTAATATGGTGTGACATTGTTGCACGTTATTTTGTGTGCCCGGTGCGTCTTGCTAGTTGGAATTGTGTGTTCAAAGTTTGTTTTGTTGTCAATTCCGTGCGTTTGACATAATTTATGTATCAGTGTCGTAGTCTGTGTTGTTTGAAAAGTGTGTGCAGACAGTGAGGATGACTCAATGAAGAACCCTTTAGAGAGAAATGATTTAATGAGTGTAACGTGTGTGTTTTTTCTATCGAGCTGAGCTGCGGTAGTTATTGTAGTTTGGACCAGTTAAGATATTATTAGGGATAACTTTATTTTTTGCAAGAGAACATCGTTCTGAGTGTTGATTACAGTTTCGACGTCTTAAATTTGTCAGACTTATCATAACTGAATATTCTTCTCTTAGAGCAGCGGTTCTCAAACTGTGTGTCGCGACCCCTCTGTGGGTCGAACGACCCTTACACAAGGGTCGCCTAAGATCATCGGGAAACACATATTTATGAAGTAGCAACAAAAAATTATTCTATTGTTGGGGGTCACAAAAACACGAGGAACTGTATTTTTCAGGGTCGCGGCATTTGGAAGGTTCAGAACCACTGTCCTAGACAAACAGTAGATCAGGTATATTGATAGCCAATAGAAAGTTCAATTCCTTATTTAATTTTGGGCACTCGTCATGTCACAAATTAAATAGCTTAGTATAGTTAATTGGCTTCCATTCATCGACTTTCCTAAGATTTTAGAGTTGAAAGGGGTGAGTACTATTACTCTTTCTTGTGTAGAGTGTGTAGACACACTGTGTTTTGTGTAGACACACTGTGTTTTGTGTAGAGTGTGTAGACACACTGTGTTTTGTGTAGACACACTGTGTTTTGTGCAGAGTGTGTAGACACACTGTGCTTTGTGTAGAGTGTGTAGACACACTGTGTTTTGTGTAGAGTGTGTAGACAAACTGTGTTGATAATTAAATGACACGCATCGTTTACAAGTGGTCTGTGCTTTTATGTTTTTTGGTTTTTTTTAAATTGAATCTGATAAGGTTCGCTAAAAAAGTGCAGATTACTGTGCCCTAACCATGCGCATATTACAAAGTTCATTCTACGAATGCCGTCTGTGTGTACATTATGTATAAGGAATGCATGAAAAACAAATAAATTGTTTCAGCCCGGTGGAAAAGCCTTGACAAAGTCTCATCCAAATTTTCTCCTTTATAGTGAGCTCGTTTAACAGTAATTATGCCCCACTCCTTTTCTTAAATAAAACAAAATTGTAATATTTTAAACAAAAATTGAATTCAATGTTGTTCAACTTTTTAAAACACTTTTTCATTTTCTACTGGAGTCTGGAGTTAAAGAAGGTAGCAACAAAAACAACAAGAAAAGAGAAAACAAAACCCGAAGTGTCGAAGGTGTGGCCAAGGTGTACGTGAAATGAACAGTGTACACGCATCTTCGGGATATTATTTAGCAATGTGTCGTAAAATCCCTGGCCGAAATTCGATGTGGTGATGCAAATCTGTCCTGCACTTGCAGTAGCTCTGAGCATCGAGTGTGCTTGCAAGCTTGGAACAGAAGACGGTGTTCTCAAACAACTCCTAATCAAGAAGTGAATTCTCCACTCTTCTGGTGAAACTACTCACGCTTGAATGCGTGAGCCCATAACAAAACTCATCATTAACATGACCGACCGTCTGATTCCATTTGGCAAACTGATCTGACAAATCATAAAAGTCAAGATAAGATTGGAAGTTTGCAGGTTAGTTTTCAGTGACATTAGCCATTTACCAAATTTGCTGGTCATTGCAAAATTTGCGGGCCATTCCCGAATTTGCCGATTTCGGGTTCTAGTCGTAACATATAATATGACTCAGACAGTTTTATTAAAACATTAAGACATTTTAAAGATAGTTTAAGAAGACAAAAAAAAAAGAATTTGTAAATAAATATGTTTAATAAAAAAATGAGTACATCTTTACTAACTCTAAGACGATATATGAAGATTAAAAAAACAACTAAAATATCGAAGCTTTTTGTATTGTGACACTTGCAGAAAGTCATAGAACTGACAAAAGTTCCACTAACACACACATACCAAAAGCCAATGCATTTATTTCAAAGACTTTTATATAATTTTTCAGGTTATACATTCTAAATGCTGTATTTAGACACACAATGCAATTCCAATAAAACACGTCAGTTCAAATTAGTGTTTTACAATATCACATTCATTCCAAATATACATATTCCATAGATATTCTACTTATATATATATATATATATATATTCCACATCTATATACTCCACATATTTTACACCTATAATATTCCACGTATGTATACACAGCTGATATTCCATTACATATATTCCACTTATTTATACTCCACATTGTTAACAAGCATGAACATAAATAAATCACAGAAGTTCAATCCTAATCTTATTAGTCTTACTGCAGTAAGACATATTAAATTCCACAATATCACAAAGTTAATAATATCGCTCTGTAGCAGAAGACTTACTACCCTTTAATAATCAAACATTTCAACACTACGACGATCGCACAATCACATAAATGGTATTATGACAGTGATGGGCGCGCGAAGGTAAAGTTGCACCAGTGGCGAAGCTTGAACTTGGCAGTGGCGTAGCTAACTAACGCACATATTCTGGTGAAGGTCTGAGATTACTCTCTTATGACCCCGGCTAGTAAATTGGCTATCAACTCCATCTGTTGAGCTGAGCCATACAACATGTCCCTCACAAAGGATCCTCCAACCGCCCTGGCTTCCCCCGGGAGATCTAGTGCGGGACACTCCGTCAACAGATGTTCTAAGGTCTCCGGGGCCAGGCTGCAGTGCCGGCAGGTAGGATCTCTGTTGTTGTCCAACCTCCAGAAATATGTGCGCAGGGGGCAGTGCTCGGTGCGCATCTGCGTTACTAAACTCTGCACTCTACGACCTAACCCCCACCATGGGTCTTGTTTGCTAGGAGTAGGCA